GAGCCTCTCCAATCTTTTCACCGAAGATTAGAAAACAGTGTACGCTTGTGCAATACAAAGTCTGAAGATTGCCCTTTCTTTTCATTCCTTTCTTTTCTCTACAATTTTCTCAGTAAGTTTTCTTATCAGTTAGACTCATTGTAATTGCATATCAGAGAAGTTCACTCGAGTGCCTTGAAAAGAATCTCTTGTTCAAGCTTTGCCAAACAAGTCTCGTTCTCGTTCGACGGCAAACACGTTGAAATCTTTCATGTCTGAGTGCGCTTTATATTCCGACTTGGTAATCATTTGTGCAGACACCTTTCGGTTCAAACACACAAACAACAACAAGCGCAACAGAAATGAATATAACAAAGTCTAAAGTCACTTAACAAATTAGTTCCCACACAAAGTTCCGCCTGTGATTCTTAGAATGCCTCCTCGTATAGACGATTTAAATATTTAGATAAATACGCTGGCTTGATTATATTGTTGTATTATACAATAGGTAGACGATTATAACAAAAGCAATTCACACATGCGAAGAAAAGCTAATTAATTCTGATAAATATTCGCGTCACATGAACGCAAACGCGTTAAAAACGCGCTAGAAACGCATAGAAAACGCGCTTTGGTGGCTGTGTAGTGCTTTTGGCAACCTTTATTCAGCGAAACTCCACCCCGTTTTCATCTATGTCATGGGCTTCAGACTTTTCTGGGAATAACAACGCGCCCAAAAATGCTTAGAATTGGGCACAAAGTGGAGTCACTGTTGGCGCCGCCGCCGTTGCGCTGACGCGACTCGCCTGGGAACCAGTTTTCCAGTGGCAACAACAATTGGAGGCAGCCGCAGCCAGAGCCACAGCAACAGATACAGATACAGCCCTTGCGTATGAGCGATCCAGAAGACCCGTTCGGCAAAGTAGCACAAAGCAATGAACTGTTGAAAAATGCCTGAGAATCTTTTCCGGTGCTTGTGCCCGTGCCCGCGCCCGTGCCCGGAACAGTCTGAGCAAACACAGACGAACAGTCAAAACTGGCTTGCAACAATTGTGGGCGTCGCACTGTTGTATGGTAAACTGAAACAAAATTTCGTCAAAAGCTGAATGTGCACACGTAGTTGTAATGAAAAGTTTTAGAAATGGGAAATTCAATACAAGAGCCAAAAATTAAAAAAGAAGAATGTAACCAAAGCGTGATCGATTATTTTGTACTCTTAAGTTCCAAATTTCAAAGAGAAGTATGCTAAGCTGAAATTTTGTTCATTATTATATATTATCCTATATCTACTTATCAAACTTGTTGTAACTACTTATATCATTAAATTTGCTAGCTATGCTTAAAAACCATATGACAAAATCGATATTTATCGGTATTATAAAAATGGGAGGAGATATCGACAAATTTTTAATATTTAATTTTGAATTCTCTAGCTTTCGTAGATTATTGTTTGTGCCACCGATTACAATATATATATGTATATTTAAAGGGCCGAAAATTAGTCCTGCTATTCGAATTGCATGACAAAATTAAAATATTGCTATTTTATATATTTTTAGAATATTATGTACATTAAAATGGTGAACAAGAATTTAAGAAAAACATGAAATCGTTCTTTTTAGATTAAAAATAAAAACAATAAATGATGATTGTTTTTGGAGTTGTAAGAATCAAGTTTAATTGCAATATCGAAAATTTTTAATAAAAGTATGAGCAACCTGTCTGTTGAAGATTGATTAGTATAAGGGCACAAATAATAAAAATAGTGGTATAGTATTCAATGTTATAGTCCTGTCTATAGGTCAAAGAGCATGCTAGTTATAAAAATATCTACAACACACAACATTTATGTAGTTAGGGAAGCACACATAAAGTATAAACATACCATCTCATACAATTTACAACATCCAGACGCGATATCATGCTTTCGACTCGTTTGTTGGGTTTCGAATGTTTTAACTCCAATGAGTTAAACTCAAAGGTGGCTGGGCTGTTGCGGTCGACTCGCTGCGTATGCAAATAGCGACAGATAAAACGCAGCTACGTGATGCCTCTGATAAAGTCAATGACAACAACAACCACAATAACCACCACCACAACAACAACAACAAACCCAACAACGCCCACAATTTAAACATTTGTTTGCAACTAAAAGCGAAAGCAGCTGGTCACATTTTCATTATGTGCGAGTATTTTGTATTATTTTTTGTAATTTATTTTTCATTTTTGCGGTTTGTAGTCTTCTCAAGGTACTCGAAAATCGATGCACCCAACGAAGCCTGAAAACTGGCAACGCTGTAAACGTAAATCTGCCCTTTCTTTAGACCTTACACATTATACACTAAACATGGTTAAATGTAAAAGTACTTCTATCGAAAGATCTCGATCAGGAGATACCATGGAATCGGAGACTGATCTCCTTAGAATTCTCATACTTATAGTGCAAATAATAATATTCCCAATATGAATAAGTACGTCTTTCAATAATTTTGAAAAATTTATGATTGTCTTAACCGGAAGATACTTGGCCAAGTTAACTTTTATAACTATCTCCGCTGCGCTGCAATTTAAAAATAAGGCAGCGTACTTTCAAATATTGGCCTTCTATGCGATTCTCATGAATTCAAGTAAGATTTTAAAATTTTCATAATCTATACTTTTTATAATGTTTATTATTAAGTTTAGTTTAAGTAAGATGGGTTAAGTTAGGTTTAAGTAGCTAATACTCTTTTTTACACTTTTGTATGATCTTTCAGTCTCCATTTATTTTATTCCTATTTCACTTCCTTTTTCCCAGCCCGCTTTTTACTTCTTTTGTTCTGTTGATTTATTTATTGAAAAATCTCGTATCAAAAAGCTAGCAGCTGAACTTTTAGCTGAGTACATATGTAGGTACTTACATATTATTATATAAATAGTTCCTAGTATGGGTTATAAAAAGTACTAACGACTTGCACTAATGGACAGCGTCATGCAATGGCCATCGGTCGGGTGCGTAGGCTTAGTAGCTGAATGCGACACGCGTTCCGGCCGATTGCACTTTAACACTTGACCAGCCTGGGGGTGACACACCCGCGACGGAACCACGTCCGCGGTGGTAGCGCGGGGTCACGTGTTGTTAACGTTAACGACTCAGGTAGCACAGGTAATTTTCTGGTCTGTGTGTGAGTATGTACGTGTATGTGTGTTTTACCTGCACTGCGATTTTTTCTTTGAAAATAAAGTATATTTTCCCTTTAAGATGCATTTCAATGGAAACCCGACTTTGATGATCGACGCGACGAAGTTGGCTGCGTTTTATGATGAGGCTGAAAAACCAGTTGTTGTAATTGTTGTTGCATCTCCTGCTCATCATCATAGCGAGAGGGCTTTTCCCAAGTGCAACTGTTACAACAACAATAACTAGACAAAGATTGGCCTCCAGCACATTGCCAGTTGCCGGCCGCCTTAGCATTTCTTGTAGCTACATATACTCTACCTTTCGCCCAGATAAGATACGCACATAACAACAAAATATGTACACACACATAAACATGCATGGATTGTTAATAAATAAACGTATTTTTGAGGTCGCTCTTTTGCACAATCGATGAGCTAACAGTAGTTACACGCATACTCTATTTACAGAGTAGTTAAAATATCAGTCGAGTTTGGGCACTCCGCACGATACCCTCAAGTGGGCATAGCAAGGCCTTTTTCAAATTGACAGCTGTTTGTTGATTGACAGATAAGCAAAGGTATCCCCAACAAATAGTTTTTCAATTGTCAATGCGTCATTTTCTTAAAGATGATTGTGTATACTAAACTTCAAATATTTGGAAATTCTAAGGCGACTACATATTATATTACAGTGTGTATTCGTTAGAGTGGATAGTTTAAAAAGGAAGATAATGACGAATGTACTATTATAATATATTGTTCATAATCCTCATGAGAATGGAAACAAACACAGACTTTTTCAATGGCTATATTTAATTAATGTTTAGAAACTCAAATATCTGTATGGAAAATGTTCTGATTTCCTAAAAATTAAATACACAAATTTTTTTATAAGTAGACAGCTTAAATAAGCATTTAAGATGTACTATTTTTCAAAATTAAAGTTGATTAATTTTTAAGTTATATCCAGTCTATTGAAATCACAAATTTTAAATTATTTGAATTTGAAAATCGGCTAAGAGCTTTAATAAAATACTATGTAAATTAAAACTTTTGTATCATTCAATGACACCATTCACCGATTTATACAATATAATATCTTTCAGCTTTAAGATAGTTTTGATATACGATTTTTGGATTTGGATTTTTTTCACTTTAATTATCTTCAGGACCTAGGGCCGCTAAAGAATAGGACTTAAAGAATTTCTAAATTTAAAGATCATAAGTATTTTAGTAACAATCAACAAACTAAATTGCCTAACTGTTCTTCTTGAAATTATTCAATACATTTGATTGTCTCATTCAGTCCAATCTGGATTAATATACATTTTTAGAATGCCAGACTAGATAAGAAACTTTTTTCGAGATAAACAAGCTCAATTTTACGACAACAAAGTTTTGAAACTGCAAACACGTATTTAAGCCATATCGACACATAAACACTCAATAAATTATAATTATAATTTAATTGATGCAATTTGGTGCAGCTTTAGGTATTACTCATTAAACTGGTATTTATGCTTAGGTGTTGCCATTCAAATCCCTGCAACGACCGCCTTTTTACGTATTGGCACATGTCGCTTTGTAAACAAGCAACAATAAAGGCCACACCAACACCAACAACAATAAACAGTCTCCTCAACAACATACAGACATACAGTGCACTCGAAAAAATGTGTCTCAGCAAAAAATTGGAGCCCACAATGGTGTCATATGAATTGTATGTATTTATGTTGTTATTACCCCAGTTGAGCCGCTCTCTTTCCCTCAAACATGCTCTCACACACACAAGCAAATACAATCACAATTGTCAACTGTCACTCTCTTGAGTCCTGACTATGTGCAGGCGCATAAGCACTCACCTGTTGCTAAATAAATTAATATGAAGAGAAATATCCATTGGGGCGCTGAATTGGCGCGCTTGAGCAGCAGCGTGTACGTCGACGTCATATGAGCTGCGCTTTTCGTGCGCGCACGGCTCAGTCGCTGTTGCTGCCTCTGTTGATTTGTTGTTTGCTGTTGCTGCTGTTGTGTGACGTGCGCGTTGTTAGCGGTTGCTGACGCATAGACAGCAGCAGAAGTCATAGCCATGATCGTTTTTTTTTTCGAATTGGAGGTTTTTTGTAAATTTTCGGCGATGAAGTGCAGTTTTTTATTTTGTCTTGATGTGAATGTGTGTGGTTCAAAGAATTTACTTCAAAGTCGTAGTGCACATTGAGCTTAAGTTGTCTTTCGTTTTAGTCTCTCGTTGAGGTTTTTGTTTATTGCCTTTAGCTCTCTTTACACGTATTGGCTTGCGCATATGTGTGTGTATGTGTAACTTGCACTTAGCGTCAAGAACAGGTTTTAGTTTTCAGCTACATAAAAAATTGCGCGGCTGCTGTTGCTGCTGCTTTTATTTTACACTTTCGCACGCGACACTTTCTAGCATGAATCTAAATTTGAATTTGAGTATTGAACACACGGCAAATACTCGCAGCTTGCGATGGCCATTATAGTTTGATTTGTTTGCGTATTCATAAGAACAAATACACACACACACACTCACGCACCGTAAACATAAACGAACGAGTTGGCTTAAATGCTTATTTTGTTGCTTTCCACCAGGTATTGTTGTGTTATTGCTTTTGAAGCTGCTTTGCCTGCTGGTCGTCGTTGTTGTCTGCCCTTTTGAACTGCAAGCAGCATTGGCTGCTCCACCAATACACGGGCGCTGGCTTGCATTGGCTAACACTAACAGTCACTAACACCTGTGCACACTAACATAGAATGACAAAACGAAATCAATTTCCGGTGTCCGCTCCCACAACTAAAAACGTCCAACACGCCCGAGAACAAAATGCGAACTGAATTGCGCGCTCGTTGTCATGTAGAAGGCAGACTTTGAGTCAGACGTGCTCGAGCGCTCACATTTAGACCTAGGCAGTAGTGTGTGTGAGAGAGACAACTATTGTCTGTTAGCGGGCAGGTGGGGTAGTTATGTGAACACAACAGGTAGCAAAAAAAAAATCAGAATTGATCGATTTTAAATCTAGAAAACCAATCGAAATGTACAACGTATATCGAAACTTAAAATTATGATAAATTTTAAAAAGAAATTTTGTTGTTGTTTATTAATATTTAAAAATTGTTTACTATAACTTTTGTGGCAAACAAAGGTTACAAATATTTTGCAGAATTTATATATGTTAGGTTACCAGTTATGGAATTACTTATGGCTAACGTCTTATCTGAAACAATTTAAATTGAAATCATTATGAAATATACAAGAAATATAACCTGCCGAACCTCTATGAATTTTATGTTCAATTATATTGCAGTTTATTATTGATGTGATAGTAAATTAATTATTTCTTGTTTTGCAAATATACTTTTAAATCGCTACAAGTTCGATAAGTACCGATAAATCATCAATAGCATTTTACAACACTTGCTTTGTTGATCAAAACAACAAACCCCAAAAGCCGTTAGACAAAGAAGAAGACGCTGTGAATCGTAAATTTTATAATGCTTATGTGATTTGTCGCCGCATTTGACACAAATATGCACATAAGCATAACATGAGCTACATAAATGTGGCCATAAATCACGGCGCACGTGGATATGCAGCCGTACGCAATGCAAATGAATATGCCCCCAAATGTCGGCGATAAAATGCGCGCAAACGCCGTCACCCAAATCGCTTATCAACTCAAACACAAAAAGCGCCGCCGCCAAGTCGGCAATTTTAGAGGTCTAGGTAAGAGGAGCTGGCAGTACAGACGTATCTCTATATATAGTCGCACGCACATTTAGCACCACAACAGTATGCGAATGTCGCAAAATGGCAAAGTTGCAAACAGTTTTAACAATTTACTTGCTTCTTGTTTGCGTCAAGGCCCAGAAACGAGCCGTTGAGGAGGAGAAATACTACGATGACGAATTGATTGACCTGTCGGAGATGGGCGAGTCCATTTTTGGTAATCCGGATACTGAAACTACTGGAGTTTTGGTAGACTCCCAAAATGAGCAGTCGCAACAGAATCCCGAAGAGCTGGGCACCTACCACGAAGGTGATATACTAATACCACTTAATTACCGGGACGTCCGCACCGACGACACACGTAATGGCCTACTAGCGCTGAGCACACGTTGGCCCGGCGGTGTGGTTCCCTACGAAATCAAAGGAATATTCACAACCCAGGAGCTGGGCAACATACAACATGCCTTTAAAGAGTATCACGACAAGACTTGTGTGCGTTTCAAGCCGCGCACAAACGAAAAGGATTACATTTCCATAGTAAACGGTAAATCTGGATGCTGGAGCAGCATTGGACGCCTAGGTGGTCGCCAAGAGGTCAACCTACAGTCACCGAACTGCTTGCGCACATATGGCACGCCCATACACGAACTTATGCATGCGCTGGGCTTTCTCCATGAGCAGAATCGCTACGAGCGCGATTCCTACGTGCAGGTGCTGAGCGAGAACGTAAAGCCCGGCATGTTGGCCAACTTTGATAAGGGCAGCGCCAGGACACAATCGGGCTTTGGCGTTGATTATGATTATGCTAGTGTGATGCATTACTCGACCACCAGCTTCAGTAGGAACGGACAGCCGACACTGAAAGCTTTGCGCAGCAATCCTGATGCCCGCCAGATGGGACAACGGCGCGGCTTCTCTTCCAGTGATGTACGCAAGATTAATGCGATGTACAAATGCAAACTCTAAATAGATTTTTGCTGTTTTCATTTATTGGAAAAATACAATTCTATATAACAATCGCATGTGTGCTGCATTCTGATAGATGATGCTCCTCAGTGATGTGGCAGATTCTTGTTCGTCTCGAAAAAGGCATTGCCCTTCATGGTCAGCTCCTTGCAGAGCGTTGAGAAACGCCTGATGGCATTGTAGGTGCTGTTGCCGATAGCCGCATCTTTCATGTACGAAACACACACAAAAGTACACATATATATTTATATACAGTTTAATATTTTAGGTCTATGCCTGACTTCGTAGAGTAGCAGCATGCAGGGTTAAGTGTGTATCTAATGATCGTATATTGTATGATAATATCTGTTGTGGCTAAGAGTTGCTCCCACGCAGTCGGCTCGCTTGTTAGTGGGGACGCGCTTTACAGAATAAGTTCACCTTACCTGCGCCGAAGGCGCCATCGCCACCGCACAGATCCATGTTCATATACAGCCCCATATTGCCCGTTGAACCAGGATACGAACGGTTGTTCAGAAAGTCCCGTATGTGCTGCACAATCAAATCGATGGCAACTGCAAAGCAAAACACATTCAGATGTGAACCTCTTGATTAAACTCTAATTCAATGTGTTTGGCATCTAGCAAAATAGTTGGTTATGTAAAAACTGATATTTAACGTAGCAACCCAACAAATTAAGCACTTAGGTGTGATGTCGTTTTTGCCACTTACCTTTTGGCAACTGCTGTCTGTATGCCAGGGGAGCCTTTGTGGCAGGCACTGGAAACTATACTGTACTCACTTGACAAACACCTGCTAAGACTATATTCAACTTTAAGGCTAGCAACAATTTAATTAACTTATTATAGTGATATCATTTTTCTTGTACTCCCCTGCAAGATCTACTTATATGTAGGTGTACGTGTGCGCAATGGGTATTATATTAAAGCTTTTCTATTAACTTATATTGAAAACTACAAGTTGTTTTATCTATTTTATGCCTAAAGTTAAGTTAAACAATTTAAAACTTGTAATGATTGAAGGATTGGATCTAAAAAACCTGCGTTTAACAATTGCTCTATATTAGATTTATTTTGGAGTAACAAACGTTAGTATGATGATCTTAAGAAGTGTATAGGAAGAATTTTAATTTAAAATAAATCTGACTTTATTCGCAAACTGAAGAATCCAGCTGTAACAATTTTATATTTGTATATAGTTTGAGCTTTATAAAAAGAACTATTCTAAAGAATATTTTAAGTATATATCGAACTATATCGAATTCAAAGTTTTCTTAAAAAGTGTATTTATATTTTAAATAAGTTTAAAATGGAGTGGATTAACTTCTTTTCAGTATAATCCTTTTTAGCCTATATGGCTTTTAATATTGAGCTATTTATAATTTAGGCTCACACACATGTGTGTGACTTGTTAAATTGAGTTAAAGTAACAATTCTTGTATGTTTTTAACATTTCATAAACTGTTTTTGGCAAAAGCGTTAAGTTAATATGTAGGTTTAGCTGAATAAACATATACATACACATGATTAGTTAGGCATTTAGTGCTTAAAATAATTGGGATTTTTAACATGAAACTAATAATATGTGACAATATTTATTCATACACAACTGCATAATTAATAGCTACCCCACTTTGTAACATAAGGTTTACATATTTGAGCCCGAGTTAGACGCTGAAACGCCATTTGAGTTGGTTAAGTAAGTTTTTTTTCTTTTCAATAAACAAAAAACAAGCTTACAATACACGATTGCATACATTATACAATGGTATGCATAATATAGATAACTTTTTCATCTTAAGGCTAAGTTAATTGGTTAGGATTGGGAAGGACCCGCGCTCTATAATTTGCAGTTAGTGAAAGCTTAACACTGGGCGCGTCGTCAGTTTAGTTAGGAACAGAAAATGTTTTGTTTTTGCTTTTTTCCTCTTTTTTTTTTTTTTTAATTTTGCTTAAGAGCTTAAAAAAAGTAGGGGGAGTTTTAGTGATCGCGCTTCATGCTGGCGGCCGCAGTTCTGACTGTGTTGTTGTGCTGTGCGATGTTGGTGGCCGCGAGAATTTCTCCGATATGGTGTACAATGAGATCAATGGCAACTGCAAGAAATACATTGTAACAACAGAAACGAAAACAAAAACAAAAAGAATCGAGAAACGAGAAGGAGACAACATCAAGCAGGCTATCGTAAAATTGGTTTAAGTTTGGTTAGTTGAACGGGCACAGGAACAGGAAAACCCAAAAAATTAATTTTAAAAAAAAAACATTGATTTTACATTGTTTTTTTTTTTTTTTTTTACATATGCTAGAGAAACATATATACAGGAATACCTCTATAAAAAATTTCAACTAAACACTACAAACATGACACGAGTGTGTGTTGTGTGTATATGAGTGTAGATAGTTAATTAAGTTTTCAACTGAAGCAAAGCACGTGTACCGTGTGTTTGGTCGCATAGCTCTTACCTGTATTGTCTGCACCGCGAGGAATGATAACGTCAGCAAACTTTTTGGTCTGTAAAAGTAAGAATTTAATTGATAAGCAGGCAATCTTTAATTTGCCTATCACAAAGTATTGACAGTTTAGCCGTTCCTAGCTATATTTGGCTATTTTTACAGATCAGCAACCTGATACGATGCAATTTTCAGCTGATTTAGCTTCTTTTGTTTTTGGAATTCTAATGAAAATTACTCTTGTACAAGTTCTGTTCATTGCCAACTTATGCAAAAGAAAGCTTATTCCGATATTTTAAGATATTTATGACTTTGGATTCAGCTAATTTTATTGAAGTGGCAGTTGACAACACTGCGCTCACTTACCGGCGAGCAAAACTCCTCAAAGGCGGGTTTCACAAAGGTCATGTACTGGGTGAGCACAGCATCCAGGTCCCTGCCACGCTCATTGATATCACGTGGGACTAGGCATAAGTAAAGATGATCTTAGAGAGAGATTTTGAAAAGGTACACAAAACAATATTACCCCGACGCGCTAGACGTGTATCCGAATCGGTGTCCACAAAGAGCTTCATATGAAATAGATCGCGTATTTTGGGAAAATAAAATACCAATATACCCTCAAAGAGGACCACATCCGCTGGATAGATAACCAGCACGTTATCAAAGTCCCTAAAATGCAAAAATAAATAAATAAACAGAAAATCAATTAAGAGAGAAGGGTTTGTTTTTACTTACAGCGAATTGGTGCGATAGTCGTAGCTGGGTATTTCTGCCTTTTTACCCTTGAGAATGGCCTGCAGTGTCTCGTACATGAGCTCCTCGTTGAACGCATCCGGATGATCAAAGTTAAACTTGCCTTTTTGCGCCTTCAACTTTTCGGCTGGAGTTAACTCGCGATAGAAGCTATCCTGACTGATGGACACCACCTGACGTTGCGTATGGTCCATTTCGGCCTGCCCGAGTTGTTCCATTATTTTTTTGCAAACAGTCGATTTACCGCTGGCTGTGCCTCCGGCTACGCCAATAAGAAATGGAGATTTGACCTCATCGTTAGCTAACGCATTTCCGTTGGGAAGGCAATCAGATTTTTCTTTGAATATTCCTTCCATCTTGAAGGAAAATTGCTTAGTCAAATGGACAGCGGGAGTACGCGTTTAACAATACAAAGAAAAATCGTAGTTTTGCAGTTGCCACATTTTTAAGGCTCAGCTGTGTTAACAGCGCTGTAACAATTGCAGAAATGTAACATTTTCGTACCTGTTGTTAACAGCTTATTGTGCACATCAATGAGGGTATTCCTTATTCTGTTATGCCCATGATTCCGCAACCTTATTAAATCTGCAGTCGTTACTTAAACTGTTAATAAAATGTGATATTTTGTTTATTTAATTTAAAATTTAAATTTAATATAAAATGCCGAGCATGTAGCATATGTTACTAAAAAAATTATTGCAATAATTAAAATAAAAGTTTCAAGAGCTAATTAAAATAGAACTAAAGCTTTCAGGAACTGCCATCGATTTAAATTATAATTTTCGCCCACTGTAAATAGCCTTTTAAAGAATAGGAGAGAAAAAACCCAAGGACCAAGAACGAAAAAAGGTTCAACTTTCGTAGCATGGTACAAAATTCGAATTTCAAGACCTTTTTTAAACACTGCTCAATATATAAAAAATAAATCTCAAGCCAAAATAGATGGTTTATAATGTAGCTAAGAATATGCATAAAATGTGAAAACAGAACAGTATTAGTTTTGTTCCAGGCATATTAGAATTAATATACATATTAATATGTATATGAAAATCATGGCATAACTTAGTATATGTTATCTTCTGGTGAAGCACTCTCACCTAGTTTCATACCTTTAAAACTGCATTGGTGAATACGTTGGAATGCATATTCATTGCAGGCAACCGTATCGTATTGCAGTATCATGAATTCAAATAGAATCGATCCAGAAAACAGACTTTCTGCAGAACCCAGTTGTGATAATATTCCATCTCCTTCTGAAATGGAATATTGAGCTATTCCAGTAAGTTGCTGCGCTATAAATACAATTCAGTCCAACTAACTGGCATCAATTCACAGCAACAGCTCCACCATGAAAGTTTTGGTTCTATTGGCTGCTCTGGCAGGCATTGCCGCCGCTGTTGACTACTGTGCTCTGCCCACATGCCTGGACAAGCACATTGCCTGCAATAATAAGGGAGTAAGTCATGTGAGTTTTCGCTATTAACAAAGATTAAATTTTGTGCCGCTGCAGAATTTTAGCGAACTTTGCCCCAAGGATGTGCGTCCCGTGAAGATCGATGCCCATCAGAAATTGATTCTTTCGCTGTTCAATGAGCTGCGCAACAAAGTCGCCGGCGGCGGTATCGAGAATCTGCCCAAGGCGGCACGTATGGCAAAGATGTCCTGGTGCGAGGAGCTCACCCATTTGGCGCTGTTCAATGTGAAGACCTGCCAGTCGCTAAAGGACAAGTGCCGTAGTACCGAACGCTTTGCCTACGCCGGCCAAAACAATGCCATTTTCAGCTACAGCGGTGCCGAATCGGAGTACACCGATGCTGAGATCATTAAGGAGCAAATTGAGAATTGGTTTGCCGAACGCTCCAATGCATCTCCTGAAATTCTGGGCAGTTTCCCCGAGGAGCTGCCCAACAAGGGCGTTGCCAAATTCACCATCGCCGTCGCTGAGAAGAACACCCATGTGGGCTGTGCCGCGGTGCGCTTCTCCCGCGACTATTACAACCACTTCGTCCTGACCTGCAACTTTGCCACAACAAATGTGATCGGCCAGCCTGTGTATACACCCGGCGAACGTGCCACCTCCGGTTGCAAGAATCGCTACGGCGCCGCCTTTGACTACCCTAATCTGTGCTATGCCAAGGAAATCTACGACAATGAGAAAATTGTCCCCGACATCAGGGTGTTCTAAGTGTACCCACTAGCAATATATATGTTTATGTATATATATATCCAAACAAGCAAATAAATCGTTGACGACCTGAGAAGACGAGCAGCTTGTTTTATTGGTTGATTTTGGCTATAGGAAGGCGCGTTTCATCATTTCGCACATCAGACTTGTCAATTTTGAGAATATTTCGCAAACAGGTTATGTCAAGCAGCTAACAAGTCGAGAGTCACGTTGGATGGATAAAGAACTAGCGCCTTTTTAATTAACTTAATTATTGTTTTTAATCATATATCATTTACATAGGAGGTATTCATCTTTCAGACTGTTCCGACAATTCGACAGTTGACATTCATATTTAAGATCGTTGGTTTTTTTTTTTAAAACACGTATTATCACAATCTTACACAGGTATACAAAACATTATCCTACATTTTGCAAATTGCTAAAACAATTTCTCGCAGTTGTGACCAGTGTTGCCAATTTAGCTGTCTTCTAATTAATTTGATATTTTCAGGCAACACTGGTTCCTTGTTTTTATACCCCGGCTGTAGAGGGCGTTACAATCTTTGCTATCCATATTATGGTAATAAATATGTATGCTATTTAATTTGTATTAAGTGTCGTCAAAGCCTCTGGCAATGTTTCGTTTGGACAGATGGGTGTCGGGGAAATGTGCGGGCCAAATCAATCAAATTTGTATTAATTAGTCAAAGACTTCAAACTAAAATAAAAATGAAATTTGTTAAATAATGGCATATACAAAAAATGAGCTGATAATGAGCGGGTCGTCTGCGTAGTGTCTGATAATCCAACAACAATTACACTAAATAACATATACAGCTACATTTAAATAAATTATACGAAGAAGCGAGCATTACTTTTCTTTGGGCGCCTTGTCAAACAGGTACTCCTTAGCCATTTGATATCCAAGTCCCACGGTCAGGCAGCCCACGACGGTGCCCTGCGCTGCCACACGCAGCTGCATCAGGAAAACACTTGTGCTCATCGTGCCACGGTTTTTGTATTTGTAGGCACCGATCAGACCCGCCGCCACAAAGCCAGCAATGCCTATGAAAACAATAAAAATTAGCCAAATACGATTGAAAATTTACGCGAAGCGCTGATTTGTTGTTGCTAGCTGATAATCACCAGACGGCGGCAGCTGACGCACCAACACCAACGCGATACACGCGCCAATCATCGCGACGTCATAGATGTGCTAATAGTATGTATGTATGTATGTATGTATGTATGCATTTTCTCTTCTAACTGTTAACGCTAAGCGTTGCGAGCTGTGTTGGCAATTATGTCACATCTTACGCGCTCATTCATATTATGATGAAATTCCCGTGTTATTAAAAGTTATGTCACTTAATTCTATGCACGTTCAAACATACATACATGTGTACATATATAACCATACATCTTCAATTAACGGCGAAGGTCAAGGTGGCATTGTCATCCTTGCACACATACAAATGTAATAGGAAAGTTTCCGTGACGTCACATCCTATAGGAAATGTGTGCGCCTCAGCGAAAAACTCTAGCCAGCAGTCACAGGACTTACCGATCAACATGAAAGGAGACTCCTTTGCCTTGTTAGCGAACTTGTTGGCTTGCGCTACATCATCTTCAGTTTCAAATAGAGATTTTGAACTCATGGTTGTTAGTTTTTCCGTTTCTTTCGTTTGCCAAAAATTTGCTCAATGGCAATAACGCGTCAGTAGTTTGTACGCAAGTGAGTGAACAAGTGTTACTGAACTTGAACCGAATATTCCCTCTTTTTATTTAGATTTGGATTTCCGCGAAAGTAATCGATAACAAATCAGCTGTTTTACTAAAAATGTTTTATTAAAAATAATACAACATAATGGCAAAATTTTAATTAGCACTATCAATATTAATATATATATACAGACTGATATCAATATCAATTTTTTTTATTCGTAACTTTATCATAGATTTTATTTAAGTGGTTACTCCTTATTTAAGTACAAATATTAGTTTCATAAAATAAATACCAAACCAACAAACAATCTAACAGCATCACGAAATTAAGTTCATTAAACAATTTGACTCAACTAAATAAGTATGTGTAATAATTTAACCAACACTAACAGTGTGACCGCAGTATGCAAAAGAAAAATTACGCGCTCAGCTGAGTATTTTGCCATGACATAAGAAGCGTTCGTTCGTCAAGAGGGGAGAAACGACGTTGGATTGCCGTAGCCCCAACACAAATCTGCATTAGTTTAAAATTTTCTGACTCAAAGTGCTCACACACAACAAGCGCAGCAGCGAATACGAGACGACACCACAGCAATGACGGGCATCATATCTATATTAACAAGGCAATTGCCGCGCAATGTGCAAACTATTAGCCTAAAGGCTATGCGGAATCATGAAGTAAGCGTAAGAAGGAGTCATACGCATAGATATTTTGGTCAGCAAAAGTCGAAGCAACAAAAAAATTGAAAGGCGTTGAAGGCGGAGGCGCTGCCACATTTCGTGTGTATTGGATCAGTTGTTTTTGTTGTTGCGGTCTTGCTGGCGGCCGCTTTAGCAGCTCATAATGTGGTTATGTAATTGAAAAAATATGTATGCAATGCATTAAGGCGCAACCTGCGTGGCAGTGCCACGCCCCCCAAGCCTCATCTCGTGACGATCAACCATCTAACAGCAGTAGCTCCACAGATTGCACAATTATTGTTGCTTTTTTTTTTCTTTTTTGAGATAATAATTTTTACCATTTCTGATTGCGCCCACAGCTTCAGCTGAGTGCCCGTCAGTATTCCCAGCTAGCTGTTGTTGCGGCAGTTCAGCAGCAGCAACAACTGTTGCGCCGAGAGTCGATTCCTACTCTGCGCTGCCAAGATGCGATGCGGTAAGAAATGCTATTTACATCATACAGATTAAGTTAATCATGTGCATATCTCTCTCCTGCAGGGCCTTGGGCTGGCAGAGCTTTCACACCACCACCAGCATGTGGTCGGAGCAGGTGGTGAAGGTACCGCCGTTCGCTGATTCCATCACCGAAGGTGACATTAAGTATGTGAAACTATAGTCAAGAGATTCCGACATGTGGCCCGTTTGGCGGGGGGCATGTTGTAAATTTTGTTGATAGCTTATCTGATGCTTGGTTCTAAAGGCGCTCTCTCTTTATTTGTTGCCATGAATTATCTTTTTAGATTTTCCTGCAAAGTGGGCGACTCTTTTGGAGCCGATGAGGCTGTCATGGAGATTGAAACCGATAAGACGACCATGCCAGTACCGGCGCCCTTTGCGGGCAGTGTGACGGAAATTCTAGTCAAGGATGGTGACACGGTTAAGCCTGGCCAAGAGCTTTTCAAAATGAAGCCTGGTGCAGCACCAGCTAAGGCAGCTGGTGCTCCTGCCCCAGCTGCAGCGAAGGCTGCACCAGCTCCAGCAGCAGCAGCACCACCTAAGCCAGCTGCAGCACCCGCTGCGGCACCAGCTGCACCGAAATCAGCACCACCTCCGCCACCACCACCAGCTGCACGCCCGCCACCGGCAGCCCCTCGTGCTGCTGCACCGCCGCTAGCTGCTGTGAAGCCCGCCGTGGCCCAGGTGAAAGTGCCTCCCGCTGATGGTTCGCGTCAAATTTTAGGCACACGCTCCGAGCAGCGCGTTAAGATGAACCGTATGCGGCAAAAGATTGCGGCTCGCTTGAAGGATGCACAGAACACGTGTGCCATGTTGACCACCTTCAATGAGATCGACATGAGGTTAGCTTGTTAAGCAACTCTTACATGCTTTGTATAATTGGCTTTGATATCTTTTCTCCGACAGTTACGCGATGGACTTCCGCAAGGCGAACCTGGATGCATTCACCAAGAAGTACGGAATCAAACTTGGATTTATGTCCATATTCTCGAAAGCCAGCGCCTATGCGCTGCAGGACCAACCCGTAGTCAACGCTGTCATCGATGGACAGGTAAATTAACCCAACTGAGTCACTCGTGACGCTCCTCTTTATTACCTTATCACACGCAATTACCCGTCGCTATCTGATAGTCTTCTGATATGAAACTATTTTTCGTAGATATGCACTCTAATTTCCTGAATCTAATATTTGTCAACCAAAATTCATAAGACATTTTAATACTTTAGTTATGTTGTATAGTAGCAAAACGATAAAGTAATAGGATATTGATTGAAACACGGTAGACCGCCTAAAGCGATTTATAACGGTTCATATAAAGAAAATGCATCAGATTAAAAGTAGCCTGCAATCATTTCCATGTCATAAAATTGTTACTAGAAGAAATTACCTGTCACAACATTCAGAAACAAAGTCGGCTTTTTTTGAGAAACAATTATAATTTTCCTGGATTTGAATCGGCGACTTTCCAATATTAGTCAAAGCTCACTTATATGACTGCATTAGTTCTTTGTTCATAAAATCTGACCCCATTTGGAGGTTAAATTTCCTAAAATCCCGTCTTAACGCTTACCAGACTCGAAACAAAGCTGTTATATAAAGATTTGTTTTGATCTTCGAAGTATCTTAGTTCTTGAACCTGTTTTATTTAACCATTGACTTAGCTTGTTTAGCCAGTCTTTTAATATAAATGCTTATTTTAAGTAGTTATATTAATTTTGGGGATTTGTTTATGTGTGTAAATGTCATACCAGTTTTTAAACTCGAATATTGACAGTCTTTTAAAATTATGCAAATCGAAAGAGTTACTAAATCGTCGGCCCGCTAAAGATCTAATACCCTTTTGCATTACGATATTATAGATATGTCAGAATAAATGCTGAGTTTGATGAAAATATCTTGAAAAACACAATATATTACCAAGATTTCTTATATAAAGCTAAAAACAGAAAGACAGACGGACATGGCTATATTAATACGGGTGTTAAAGCTGGTCTAGAATATATATACTTTCTGGGGTCGGAGATGGGGTCGCAAATATTTTTGTTGTTAACTAAGTTATTATTACTAGCAGTAACAGCTTAAATTAAATAATTGTGTATATTTTATACTGTTAAACGAACGAATTCCCATTTATATTTTCCCGTAGTTGAAGTTAAAATAAATCAATACATGATTTGAATGTTTTGCAGGACATTGTGTATCGCGACTATGTGGATATCTCAGTGGCTGTGGCCACACCCCGTGGCCTGGTTGTGCCTGTGATCCGGAATGTGGAGAGTATGAACTATGCGGACATTGAAATAGCTTTAGCCGGGCTAGCCGACAAGGCGAAACGCGATGCCATCACTGTGGAGGACATGGACGGTGGCACTTTCACCATCAGCAACGGTGGCGTCTTTGGATCACTAATGGGCACGCCTATTATAAATCCGCCTCAGAGTGCTATACTCGGAATGCATGGTATCTTTGAGCGCCCCATTGCCGTCAAGGGCGAGGTATGTTATTGTCTCTTAACATAAAAGGAGTTCGCTTAACGTTTAATATCTCTTGCAGGTCAAGATAAGGCCCATGATGTATGTGGCCCTCACCTACGATCACCGAATCATCGATGGACGTGAGGCGGTTCTGTTCCTGCGTAAGGTGAAGGCTGCTGTCGAGAATCCAGCCATCATTGTTGCCGGTCTGTAAGGACAGTTGAAGTCTGTTAGCGCTGCGTCCACGTTGTTCTAATGATATTATCGAATCGGATATTTAAAACTGAAGCACAGCCAAATTCATTGTATAAAGCGGAACTTTTCGTTTATGTATTTATTATAAAATTACGAGTGTGTCACAAATCGACTTAAATTTTGGGTTTAACTAGCGCAAAGTACATACAAACACAAGAAATAATAAAATTTAATAACGACGTGGAACTGTTTTCAAAACATACCCATACTATATTTGTTTTCTGCACTTTAATAACTGCTGTTTACATGCACCTGCTGAAAGGCAATATCGTTAATAAATACGATATCGTTATTGATACCAGTTCACAGGTGTTCTTCGTTTTTGGCTGGTTACTAAGCGGAAATTTTTTAAGGATATCATGATATGGTCGTAATAAGAATATAAAAAACGCCGATTGTTGATAAAAGTAGAGCCGAAAGGCACTCAGTATTTAGTCTAACTTGCTCTATAAACTTTCTAAAGCGAAATACTGCGAACTCATATTTTCTTGTCGAATTTGTGGATCATTAATTAAGGGAATTAATGCAATGAAAACCTCAACTTTAATTATGAGTAAAGATACACACGATTAAGCCATTGGCATATATTGAATAATGTTTCGATTAACAACACAGTTTAAGCTTTAAACGCAGAACTGACAATTCCCAAAAGGATATTTTGGCATACGCATTGCCTTCTTAGCAAGTATGTAAGAATATTCTTGTGTCAGGTCAGGGCAGAAATCATAATTTTTGTATTAAGACTTTGTATTCATTAGTTTTTTTTACTGTCTTTACTTATGCTACTTAATGTCCTTTATTGTGAATTTTACATGTAATAATAAAAAAATGTTTTTTCCAATTATTAGTACACTGCGAAATTGCTTAAATATTTCGAAAATAAATGACAAACAAAGGTTTTAATTAAGATTCTGGAGTCCTGGATGTGGAAAATCAAACATAGGAAATATTCGTAACTAGGGGTTGTGTGCACATGGACAGAAAATTTCCTGGATCAGCCATATTGTTCAGATATTTATCTAATAGCCGAACTATTGAAAAGGGAGAAATCAAGAGTTGTATCAAGGTTGCTTTGCATTATCTGGATAATAATTTTATACTCACTTAAAGATTTTTCGCATTTAAAAACTCGTCTGCGAGTAGAAGGCATTATATAGACAGCGATGAGTGTCATTTCCATTTTATCAAGACCTTTGCGGCGAAACATTCAATTAGTTGGCTCAAAAACCATACGGATTCGCAAAGTAAGTCCAATAGTTCAGTAACGTTCCGGGAATAGGGTCAGCGATTGTTTAGAAAATACTTTTACCTTTTCTAATATTTCTTTCAGGTTCAGATTAGCGCCCGTCAGTATACCCAGCTGGTTGCTATTGCGACAGTTAAGCAGCAGCAATTTTTGAGACGAGAGACAAGTTCTACTTTGCGCTGTCAATATGAAATACGGTAAGATATCTATCTATCATGCAACTGAACAGCGATCATATTTTGATCAGTATCACAGGGCGACCCGCTCTAGACAGGTTCGTGTGTGTAGAAAAAAATTGATGTAAGATGTGGAGAAATCAGAATTGACATTAAGAGGGGTACGAAATTAAATATAATCAGGGATGAAAAACAAAGAAAAAATAGAACGTTGGGCTTGGTTCGTGAACCTGCCTAAATTCTGCTTTTGGTTCAAACCCTTGGCATATATATAAAACATGTTAATGAAGCAATTAAATTTTTAAATAGATCTTCTGAAAATATTGAAAGCTTTCAACTATGATTAGTTAAATGCTTGGGGCTTAAGTTAATGATTAAATGCTGGATCGCCTTTAAAAGCTTTTTATGTTAAAATAAAATATAGTTTGGTTATGCGTTTCGGTTAAAATATTTAGTAAAAGGTTCGGTCGACAACCAAAATAAATAGGAATTTCCGTCTTGAACCAGAATAAAAAATAACTGTTAGGTATAACTTTTAAGTGATCTTCTGTGTATCTTTGAGTCGGGCACTATTCATGACATGTAGTATTTTACAGTACCTTGGGGTGGAAAAGCTTTCATACCACCAGCAGCAAGTGGTCGGAGCAGGTGGTGAAGGTGCCGGCATTTCCAGATTCCATATCCGAGGGTGACATTAAGTAAGTGTCTCAATAACCCACTACAAATTTATTTTGTCGGAAATTAGAATATCATCCTTAACTTATCAGGTTTACCTGCAAAGTGGGAGATTCGTTTGCCGCCGACGATCCTGTCATGGAGATTGAAACGGATAAGACGACCATGCCAGTGCCGGCGCCCTTTGCGGGTTCAATTACGGCAATTCTGGTTAAGAGCGGCGACACGGTCAAGGCTGGCCAAGAACTGTTTAAAATGAAGCCTGGCGCAGCGCCAGCTAAGTCAGCTGGCGCACCCAAGACTGCGGCAGCACCAGTTCCAGTACCAGCAGGACCACCACCTGCAGCGACCAAAGCGCCACCGCCACCACCACCACGAGCGCCAACACCACCACCACCACCACGATCGCCGCCACCAACACCAACACCACCACCATCACCATCACCACCACCACCACCACCACCAAGTGGTGCAGCGCCAGCTGCGAAACCAACCGCGGGCCAAGCTCCTCCGATTACGGGCACTCGCTCTGAGCAAAAAGTCAAAATGAGCCGTATGCGACTCAAGATTGCGGCCCGCTTGAAGGATGCACAGAACACGTGCGCCATGCTGACCACCTTCAACGAGATTGATATGAGGTGCGTTTGCCAAAATAACTTTTACATGCCTTGTATAATCCGCTTTGTTATCTTTACACCGACAGCTACGCAATGGACTTCCGAAAGGCGAACCTGGATGCATTTGTTAAGAAGCACGAGGTCAAGCTCGGCTTTATGTCCATATTTTCGAGAGCCAGTACCTTGGCATTGCAGGACCAGCCCGTGGTCAATGCTGTCATCAGTGGTCAGGTAAGTATGTCGTCTCTTTATAATAGCCTATACTTTAAACTCTATTACCTGGGTACAGGGTAAGAAAAATTGATAGATGTTGTCAGTTAGATATCGAATATCAAAACTTCGAAAAGCAAAGAAATGAGTTTTAAATTCCCCTAGAGACATATGACTTATAACTTAGTGGCATTTTTGGGCCGATTCCGGTCCGACAGGGCGATAGATCTATGAAAAGTTTTAAGAAGAACGTTTGAAGACTGAATTGTTAGTTTGCATAGAAACAGACGGACACACAGACATAGCTAACCGACTAGGCTGTTAATACTGATTCCGAATAAATATGTTGTATGGGATCGGAGATATAACGATACTATAATACCCCCTACAAGGCTATAAGAAAGATTGCATGCTATTCTTGAGATGTATTTATACTTTTACCCTATAAAGTAGTTTTCTATGCGATTTAACAACCAAAAAAAATAAAAATTTGCGGGTATAACTGACTGTGGATACTTATTAGGATATATGCCGAATAGCTTTCTTTATGCGAGATAATTTCATTAATAAAATACTTTTTATCCTTTTCAGTATAATATATTTTTAAAAACTTTCTTTAAAATTCCAAATTGTAGGAGATTATTTACCGCGATTACGTGGACATCTCTGTAGCCGTTGCTTCGCCTCGTGGCCTCCTGGTGCCTGTTATCCGCAACGTGGAGAGCATGAAGTATGCCGATATTGAGAAAATGTTGGGCAGCCTGGCTGACAAGGCGAAGCGAGATGCCATCACCGTTCAGGACATGGAAGGTGGCACCTTCACCATCAGCAACGGGGGCATCTTTGGTTCCCTGCTGGGCACGCCCATTATAAATCCACCACAGAGTGCCATACTGGGAATGCACGGCATCGTGCAGCGGCCCGTTGCAATCGACGGCGAGGTGCGCAGAATTCAACTGAAGCCATGTGTATACGTCTAATTATATATATTTATGTCAATTGTAGGTCAAGATTCGTCCTATGATGTACGTGGCCCTCACATACGACCACCGCATTATCGATGGACGTGAGGCGGTGCTGTTTCTGCGGAAGATCAAGTCTGTTGTCGAGACGCCCAGCGAGCTGGCTGCCGGTCTTTAGAGTCTGTGAAAAATGTTCTACGCTGTTCACACGTTGTTCAGGTGGTATAGAAATCGCAAACCATTTCATAAAGCAGAACCAAATTGATTGTATTAACCGGAATCCAAATTGCATATAACATTTGTGTTTACCTTGTATGTAAATATTGTAACCAACCGACATGTGCCATTGATTTTATAGAACATATTTTCATTGCAAATTTGAGCAAATAATAAGAGGACTATGTCGTTACCGATTATAAACCATGAGGTTGTTGGCATTTTCTCTTAACTCCACAAACTATACTTCCAGTCTGGAGACTTGAATTTGATGAGAGAGTTCTGTTTAAGGACTAAATTGGCCTTTATCAAAGACCAAAATTTGATTAATACAAGTATTTTGGATCGTACATTTAGTATGATTTAAGTTCGTGAGCTCTTGAATCAAGATTTATAAAAACTTATTTCGAGCTTAAGCTGGGATTGTATTTAGGACATATTGGTCTTATATTAAGAATTATTAGAAGTTGATTCAATACAATTCCGTATCTCGCTATGCGCACAACGTTGCTGCTGCTGCTGATGTTTTTTTTATAATATATGTTAGTTTTTAATTCTTTACAGCCCAAAAACATGTGTGCAGAGTGTGCCTCGCTTTCACTCTTTGATTGTGCATCTCATTCTCCCTGCGTAGCTTTAAAAAAAAAACCATAGATCTACAAACATACATGTGTTGTGTATATGTGATTTTTCTGCAGATGTGTGCCTTTTGTGCCTTTGGTATCAAAGGGCACACATATTCAAATGCTCCATTATGTATTTCTTAGTCCAGTCAGGCATAATAGGAAGAATCTGATCTAATTTTATTTAATAAAAACTTCGATGACCTAAATGAAATATTTATATTTTATATTATAGTTTTGTTGTTCGCTGTGGAAACCTATTTTGCAAGGGTAATTCTTCGTCGGCTTGTCGAAGAATTCCGGAAAACCCAAAAATGTAATATGGTCGCAAGCAATCTTGGGGCTTACTCGCGTTTAAAATTCTTTTTTTGATTATTTTAACATTCGAAACATCTAAATATTTGATGGTAAGTGCTATATTAAATGACTTCTTAGCGGTATGTCTGCAAGGGTATTAAAAACCTTGCATTAGTTT